GTTCTTATTGGGCACTTTGGACCAATTTGTCACATGATTATGCACACAAAAGTGCAGGTCTCTTCCGATTGGAAGAATCATAGCACGTTTTTTTTTTTGGCTTTTGTGGGCATCTGCACCAAATCGTCAAGAGTAGCTGTGAAGTTCATTATAGTTGGGTGACAACCATTTCTGTTCAAACTGAGAGCTATGTGTAACCTACCAATGGCGACATAACCACAATAACTACCTAAGAGAAGACAAATTCCCTTAGGAATCCTCCAACCTAATTAAATAACATACATTCAAGCCATCATTTGCACATACTGTGTACTTGGGTTGCTTCGACTCCGATCTAGAGGGTCTCATTCGATTAATGGAAACACCTAATGGAACAGACCAAAATCCAATTCCCCTGTTTACAAAAACCTTCCAGAACGAAACCTTAGAAGCACATTCCAATCTAGCAAGCTTTCTGGGGAGTGCCCATACCCAACTTCAGCAATGATTCAAGCAAACTCCAATAACCGCATTATTAATGTCTACCAGCTTTAGTTTATCATCCTCCTTCAACGATTCTTGAGAGGTCCCTCTCACCAACAATTCACCATCTCTCCCCACTCTCTGCAGACTCTTCTAAGCCTCGCACTAGCGCTGATGCTCTCCCAATGCTTCTCTCTCTAGAAGCAAGCACAGCTCAGAAGAACCAGAAATTCCAGTGAGAGAACCAAAAGGCATAATTGAGAGAGAGAGAGAGAGAGAGAGAGAGAGAGAGAGAGCAAGAAAAAAATAAGGTAGACACTATACCATTTCTGGCAACCATTCATGGGATGCATTGTCTCAAGATCCAACACTCCCACCGCCACACACCCTGAAATCCCCCATTTCTCTCCGTTTGATTCTGCATTTTCTCCATATTCTTCACCATCACCAGCCAAAGCAAGAACTGTTTCTCTTGCAACTCCTCTTGTCCACCACCCGCCAATTAAGAAAGGTGACACCCACCATTTGGTCTCTCTGACATCCAGCACCTATGGTTCTCTCCTCCTCATTGACCCCCAGAACACCAGATTGAACATCCAGAATCTGTCTGAGCAGAAGCATTTACCACCTCCTCAGACTCCCCAAAAAATGGCTGAGCCTCAAACTCATGTGGAAGATTCGAATGACGCCCCATCACCGGATTCCGTCATCAACACCTGGGAGCTCATGGATGGTCTAGATGACTGCGATTACGATGGTGAGAACTTCAGGATGTCTGCTTCTTCCATTTCATGCAAGGCTTCAGATTGCAATGGCTATGAGAAGAAAACAGTTGACTCCACAAAATCATATGAAATTCCAGCTAAGATCAGTGGCAATCGTGAAATGACAGTCGGTCCAATGGTGGGATTCGAGGATCATTCTCCCCCATCCAACGACAAAAATTCTTCATTAGGCAGAGAAGATAGGGTAGTTCTGTACTTCACCAGCTTGAGAGGAATCAGAAAGACTTACGAGGACTGTCGTGCCGTCAGAATGATATTCAGGGGCTTGAGAGTGGCTTTAGATGAGAGGGACATTTCAATGGACTCTTCCTACAAAAAGGAATTGCAAAGCAAGCTCAAAGGCAAGGCACCGAGTCTGCCTCAGGTCTTCATAAGAGAAAACCACATTGGCGGTGCGGAGGAGATCAGGCAGCTCAATGAAAACGGAGAATTGGCGAAGCTTTTGGAGGGATTCGAAGCGAGTGATGTCGGGTTCATTTGCAAGACATGCGGGGAAGCAAGGTTCGTGCCCTGCCCTAGTTGTAGTGGGAGCAGGAAGGTGTTCGATAAGGACGACAAAAGATTCAGAAGGTGCATGGATTGCAATGAGAATGGATTGATTCACTGCCCTAGCTGCTGCTCCTGAAAGCCGAATTCTGGAATCTTTTGCTATTGCAAGACCAGCAACTTTCTTGTGCTATAACATCCATGCCAACGAGTTCCTCCAGATGGGGTTCCTTTTCTTCGAAAAGTTGCTGTTTCGAACTGTCTTATCTGCATTAGTTTCTTTCCTCCATGAATAAAAGTGAAATAAAGGAAAGATTCTTTGTGTTCATGATGAATGTTATTTCACATTCTTACTCCTTTCTTTCCTGGGACTGCACTGCTTTCTTTGCCGATGTCTCCATAGACAGCTTGAATTGATCACGTATATAGGTCAACCATGCATCCTTGTTCACCTTTTCTTTTCGACTGTCTTGCTTTAGTTGCCTAGCGAGAAAACTGTAAATCTTCCATGCTCACAGCTATGGGACAAGTTAATAGGTTTATGAACCAAAACAGGGAAATGCTTGATGTTCTTTTTCTGCCCTCCTCTTGAACCGTTTGAAATCAACATTCAACACATGCAAGCAGTTGCAGCTCAGCACTTCCAGACTCCGGAGAACTCAAAGAAGGCCAGGCTGCTTTTGCATCAGTTGCCTGGCTGCATCGAATGAATGCGATGTCAATTCCCTCTGCAATGGAAAATTGATTCGCGCCGTAAATCGCCATAGGCCTATCGCTTCTGCAAGAGCAAACTGAACAAGCGAGTATCCTTCAGACTTTTGTTCTCAGAATCAGTTATTCCTCTAACCACTTTCTCAGGATTCAAACTTCCTATTGTTCTTCGTTCGCCCAACTGGTGCCGAGAAGTAACTGTTGTAAATTTGAATGGCTTCGAATCAAAGAGCAATCAAGTCGGACTTTGAGGCGTGATATCACTTTCCTTAAGGATTTATTTGCCGCACAATTGTTGCTAATGGTCACCAGCAAAAATCCTCCAGGATACAACAAAGTCTCAAAATGAGAATACTAAATAGCAATTCTAATATTTCTCCAGGGTCTATCTAGAAAACAAAAGAAAATGATGACTGTAGTTTTCGAAAGAAGACTTGAAGAAATTGATCTCTTTTTTCTTTCTTGCCAAAAACTGACATATATAGAAATCGGTCTTAAAGAACATTGGCAACTCTTCACGAAAAGTTACAAAGCTAACAAAGATATTCCTTCAGAAGAAGTTGCAAACTGAATAGATGCAACCCTTCGGAAAAGATTGAAAACTGAACAAGTATAATCTCCAAAAGTTGTCTTGGAAAGACACATGTAAAATTCGGAATAAAATAAATAAATAAATATATATATATAATTCCGAATTTTCATAATTTCGAAAATTACTTAATAAACAAAAAAACAACCTTTCAAATAATAAAAATTAATAAGATAACCTTACGAAATAAAATAAAAATATAAAGGGATTAGTGCTAATTAAACCGCGGCCGCGCAAAAGTGCTAAGTGCGCCAAAATCGCACAATTATTCGCGCACCCGCACGCGGGTATTGTGTGGACTAGCACACACCCCATTGTCTTCACTCTAAAGAGCAAGAAGATATTCACAGTTATAAAGTGGCCCACTTTCTCAAAACTTTCCTATGTGGGACAAATGAAAATGCACTATTTTGTTTGTTTTACAAACAAACAACCAACAGTAACTGATTTTCATCAGCAAAAAGAGAACAGGTGCCGAAAGCCGAGCCGGCGTCGTTAAATATCATCTTTTCAAGTTGTTGCGATACTTAGACAATACAAATATTACCAATCTAGCGCGCTAGCATGTAATTATCTGCAGTACAGAATATAACATTCAGCCGTCAGTTAAATGAACTGAAGGTTCTCAAGCATTACATCAAGACCGCATGTTAATCAGTACTTATTTCACCACCACAGAGTACAAGGGAAATTCTATTTTCACTTGAAAACAGAGGTCCGAACATAATGAGACATTAATGGCCACGACACCTGCGGCTCGTGGAATCCACACATGAATATCTTCAGTCGTGGTCATTATCATTATCCCAGCCTTAATTCTACCGTGCCCGTTCGATATTTAACTCAAATTTTTTTTTTTTAATATGTTCATTGCAAATCTTAAAACTTATCACAAAAGTGCAATTTAGTCCTAAAAATTTCAAAAAATGCATTTAAGTCCTAAAATTTATCATGAAAATGCAATCGAGTCATAAAACTTTCAAAAAGTACAATCAAGACCTAAAACTTGTCAAATTGATCCAGTCAAGTCTCTTCATTAACTGCACTTTTTGAAAGTTTTAGGACTCGATTTCATTTTCGTAACAAGTTCTAGGATTTCATTTCGCTTTTCGAAAATTTTAGAATTAAATTGTACTTTCTTAACAAGTTTTAGAACTTTCAGTGCACTTATCCTTTTTGTTTGTGGGGAAAAGATTTCTAAGGCAAGATCGACATCGACGCCTGCGAGCATTTTCGTAAGCTTATGAGACCCTTTCAATCTAGAAATGTTTGATTTGACTCAAAATTACTCGATACTGCCACGGAAGACAATAAAGCATGTAAACGAGCCTATCTTAATAGCTCCACCAACGTGTTAGCAGCTCGTAGCTCTCACTAGATGAAACGTAGCAAAGCTATGAGCACAACTTCTCTCCAAAGATTTGCCTATGACATGGTCCGAATTTTCGACCTCGAGAAATACAGAATGGGCACGAGACCACTTAGCTTAGCATTGAGCCAACCATGCTACATGGTGTCTTAATAAAATATTGAGAAATTGATACAAATAATCTTTAACTTTGATTCAACGTGTAATGTGATCTTTGAACATTTAATTTATTCAATGTGATCCCTGAACTATAGCCTAATGTGCAATGTGATCCCTAAACTTTCAATTTGTTCAATGCGATTCCTGAATTTTTGGTACATATTCAATTTAATTCCTGAACTATATAAAATTATTCAATGTTGTCCTTTCATTGTCAAACAAGTACAAAAAATTTAGGGACCACATTATACGTTAGGCTAAAGTTCAAGGATCATATTAAACAAATTAAAAATTCAGAAATCACGTTACATATTAAACCATGAAACTATTTGTGTCATTCACCTTAAAATATTTTACTGCTCGCAGGTTTTATCCAAATTTATGTAGACTCTGTTACCGAGTAAGACCCACCTCTCTTCTCGTCGCCGCGGACGGACCACACAAGCATTACCTTTGCAAAATCTCTTGGCTGTGCTCTTTTCCACTTCCGTTTCTGGCCTCCCAAAATGCCACGCTTCGTCCTCGCAACAATCTCTCTCTATCTCTCTGCGAATTTGCGGCTTGGTAAGTCATAGTACCCGAAAGCTTTTGTTCATGATGAGCTAGTTTTAGTCGAGAATACTACAAGAAAATGGCAAGACCCTCTTGTTCTGTTCTTGCAATTGTCCTCCGCTGTAGTTTCGGTTGTTCTGTAAGACTTGTGTTGGTTCCGCGATAAGGGGTCTGTTCTTTATAAGGAAGCGGTTCGGGGATTGGGTCTTTTGGGTCAGAATTGGATTTGCTTCTTGTAGAGCACCTGAAGATATGAATAGGAAGTTGATGGATACTGTGCTGAAAACGCATAATCAGCATGGGTTCTTGCGCCCAGTTTGTGGGTTCTCAGAAACTGTTAGCATTTTGAGCTCATCAAAGCTTCAAAACCAGGAGCTCAGGCTTAGTTCGAGGAAGGGTCATTTGAGAAGGGCTAAGAATGGGTGTATTAGGGCAAGCAGTACTGCTCTTTTGGAGCTTGTCCCAGAAACCAAGAAGGAAAACCTCGATTTCGAGCTTCCCATGTATGACCCATCGAAGGGCCTCGTGGTGGACCTAGCCGTGGTGGGAGGTGGCCCTGCGGGGCTCGCCGTGGCTCAGCAAGTGTCAGAGGCGGGACTCACGGTTTGCTCCATTGACCCATCCCCCAAGTTGATTTGGCCCAATAATTACGGCGTGTGGGTGGATGAGTTTGAAGCCATGGACTTGCTGGATTGCCTAGACACTACCTGGTCCGGGGCAGTCGTGTTCATTAATGACCAAACGAAGAAGGATCTTGGAAGGCCTTATGGCCGAGTTAATAGGAAGCAACTCAAGTCCAAGATGCTCCAGAAATGCATATCGAATGGTGTTAAGTTTCACCAAGCCAAAGTGATCAAAGTCATTCATGAAGAGGCCAAGTCTTTGATCATATGCAATGACGGTGTCACAATCCAAGCCACAGTGGTTCTTGATGCCACTGGTTTCTCCAGATGTCTCGTTCAATATGAAAAACCCTACAATCCCGGTTACCAAGTGGCATATGGGATACTGGCAGAAGTGGAAGAACATCCCTTTGATGTGGATAAGATGGTTTTCATGGACTGGAGAGACTCGCACCTAAAGGGTGATATGGAATTGAAAGAACGAAATAGCAAGATCCCCACTTTTTTGTACGCCATGCCATTCTCTTCGAACAGGATATTTCTGGAAGAAACTTCCCTAGTAGCTCGGCCTGGATTAGCAATGGAAGATATTCAGCAAAGAATGGTGGCTAGATTAAAGCACCTGGGGATAAAGGTGAAGGCCATCGAAGAAGATGAGAGATGCATCATCCCAATGGGTGGGCCCCTTCCTGTGCTCCCTCAGAGAGTTGTTGGCATAGGTGGTACAGCTGGAATGGTGCATCCTTCCACGGGTTATATGGTGGCGAGAACGCTAGCAGCAGCTCCAATCGTCGCAAATTCCATAGTAAGTTATCTTGGTTCCGACGGGGGTGTTTCAGGCAATGAATTATCCGCAAAGGTTTGGAAAAATTTGTGGCCCATAGAAAGGAGGAGACAGAGGGAGTTCTTCTGCTTTGGTATGGATATTTTGCTTAAGCTCGATTTACCGGGTACGAGGAGATTTTTCAATGCATTTTTCGATCTAGAACCTCATCACTGGCACGGGTTCTTGTCGTCTCGATTGTTTCTGCCAGAACTCATTTTTTTCGGACTCTCGTTGTTTTCACATGCTTCCAGTACGTCAAGGGTAGAGATTATGGCGAAGGGAACGTTACCGCTGGTAAAAATGATGGGCAATTTGATACAGGACAGAGAATTCGATGACTAGAGTCTAGATTTAGTGCAATCTTTGCTGTATGCTTCGATGTGCGCACACACACATCTTCATGTTAACTTACAGGTACTGCAGAACATGTCAATATGAGTACCACGAACGAGCTATTAGACTAGCTGATATTCGCATTTGATCACACTTTCAGTGTAATATTTTTTTCCTTTGTAAGACAGAGGTGCTCTCCAGTATCCAGAGGTTCATGGATTAATAATAGTGAATATCTGTGTAGTGGAGCTTCTGTATCGCTTTGGTACTATGATAGAAATGTTCACTGGCTAATCATCTATCTTCTGCATTCCCATGATGTTATGTTATGCTTAGCAGGTTATAGCTGAATAACAGTATCTGTAGAGTGTGTTTTTTGTGTATACAACTCAAGACTAAAAGGGTCTGCTAAAACTTGTGCTTTGCACAAACTAGTCGAACCGATACAGAAAGACTGAGGGACCGCATCTTGATCCTGCAGTTGTGTCTGATGGATATTCCTTGTCGCCGGATTGTCTCTTGAGGTTCTTTCGTTGATTAACTTCAAACTCGACAAGACAGAAATTTACCCGACTTTGCGAAGTTAAAGATTGTTTGCATTCGCCACAAAATGTCTATTATTTCATGACAATGAGCAGGCTGTGTTATATTTTAGATGTTACTGCTTTTTGGGTTGAATTTTGTGATCTCATTTTGATAATTAGACAGGTATTGATGGATGATGAGTGATGTTTGGGCTGTGGATGATCGACGTGATGCTCATGCCTAGGCCAAAATGTCAAATTAGCATTTACTCCCATCCTTTGCACAAATTTTGCATTATGGTCAATTTTGAAAAGAAATGATCTGTATCCAATCTGCTACTCTGAGATTTCAACGTAATCGTCGACGGGTAATTTTTAAATTAAAAGAAATCATAATAAATTGGTCGTTGTTCACTCACAATATTCAATAAATGATTGCTTCTAGGATGAATTTACCTTTTCACATTCCTCTGTTTTGGTCAAATTACTTGTAAACTCCCCCTTATTTTCCATAATAACTCTGACGACCCACTAATTTTGTTCGGGCCACATTACATGGGACTTTCTGTAGTCCCTCAAAAGACTGATCTACTTACTGTCTTAGAAGTATTGTACCATAATGAATTTTTGTTGCACTTCTTACTTAAAAAGTTGTATCTCACAAATATATTTTATGAAAAGACAATGGTTTGTGAATGATTCGATCAAGATCAAAGGGGTCTAAGGTATTTCAATCCCACTTTAATTGTCCTACTAATATGACTGTCGTCTTCAGATTTCGAAGCATTTATTTATAGGGATATCTTAGAAAGACCGTAAGCCCAAAAATACGACCCTTGTGTTGTTGATTATAGTGTTAGGGGATTTTCAGCTTAGGAACCGAATATTACATGCTTAATTAACATTAATTGCATGCGAAATGCTATGAATCAAATCACATGTTCGAACCAAAAGCCTCAACTTATTTAGTTGATGAGACTTACTTGATATTTTATTAGTCTTCATATAGCCGTTTCCCATGCCCCTATCTCTCGTGTTATAGAAAAAATGGAAGATTAGACCTGTCAAAATGGATCATGAACCGATTTTTTAACCCATATTTGATGGGCTGAATTGTTATATTAATTTGTTATATTCAGTAAATGGGTTATAAATGAGATTATAACAGTAAAGCTAAAAATAATATGTGTGTTAAATAGGTTCACAACTTATTTAGATCCAACCCACTTATATGACTCTTTTCACTCTCTCTTGCCCTCACTTTATCTCACTCTTGCTCGCTTCGTGCTCTCACCTTAGTTTGCTTATCGATTTTTCTAGATTATGTTAAATATGAAAGTGTTTTAGCAGTATGGATCGGATTTGGTCATATATGTATCACTAGATTTGTATTGCATAAAAATAGATCTAAATCAAGTTAAATAAATCAAATTTGGATTATTTTCAACTCGACCCACCTGCTGGACGGGTCTTCCAAAGATTAACTAAGAAAGCATTTAATTGAGAAAATTTGATTATCTAAAAGGAGGGAAAAGAAGATGGCCCAAAAGAAAAACGAAAGAGATAATGGGGGCTTATCCCCAAACTCCGCATGTCATATCACGCCCACGTCAAATTCCCCCACCTTTTACTTCCTCTTCCCAAACATAGCGCCAAAATCTAGAGAACCCGATGGCGAGCTCGTCGTCCGATGACTTCTCCGTCGTGGTGCTGGCCTCCGACCTCGGGATCGACGCGCGTCCGTTCCTGCTGAAGCAGCCGGCGGGCTCGCCGCCGCCGCCGCCGCCCGAGGCCGCCGAAGAAGACGACGTTGGCGACGACTGGCACGATTGCTCTCAGGACCTCTCCCACGACGAGGACTTCTCCGACCTCGAATTCCTCCAGTTCTTCAGGCTCCAAGGGTCCGACAAGGCCGGCAACCGGATTTTCCGCATCGTCGGCAAGTACTTCCCCGGTGAGCGGAACCTTCTTCTTGTCTTGGAAAGATTCCAATCGAATCTGACGCGACTTCATGGGCTGATGGTGGTAGGGTTTGATCTGGATTGAGGGGTTTGGCGTCTTAGGCTCGTGGTAGTGGAGAGATGATATTCCTTTTGTTCCTTTTTAGGCAGACGGAACTGATTTTGTTAACCGATCGAGTAGTAGACGGCATTCGCCTTTACAAGAATCGGTCGTCGCGGTGCGATTACGTGCTGTTCACCGTCTAGATGCTGAAAATTGTCATCGTTTAGTGTCAGAGAGGAGCTGACCACCGTAGCTTTGCATTTTTGGGAAGTATTAAGTAGAGAGATACTTTCCGGCCAAAAGAAAAGTGGAGAGATCCTCAATTTCCAGCTGAATTTCAGGGCATTCTCAAAATGTTCATTCACAGGGGAAGATTTGGGCTTTTCACCAAAAGGTTGAGTGAGAGTGGAGTACTCGAATGCGAGCTTCCTTTTAAACTAAACCATAGCCACTTCTCGTTGTTCATTTCAGAGCATGTCGCTTGCAGAACGCTTTGTTTCTTGATAGAATGACCTACCTCATATTTGAAAGGCTGTATCTTTCGGATGAATTAATAAGCGGAGGGGAAACTCCATCTTCCTGGTCGCTCATTAGGTGTTTGTGTAGCTTAATTTCCTTGAATGCGTTTTGCATTCTCCCATGCTCCATTATCAATATTGGACTGACCGGTGCAAATGGCTTGGCTGGACAATTCTTTTCTTTTCTGCATTATGGAGTCATGCCCAAGTAGAAAAATATGGAATTGCGTTTGAAAAGAAGTTGAGACGATAAAAAGGTTTTCTTGGATATTGTTGGTTCTTTTGTTCCCAGCTCCAGTTGTGACTTGTGAGTGATGCTGGAGAAAAGTTACTAGAATTTTTTTTAAAATACTGTTGCTTTGTTGGTTTACAGCTCCTGTGGTGAGCGGAGAGCGGCTCCGGAAGTATGTTTTTCATAAGATATGCAGTGAGCTTCCTGAAGGGCCGTTTTGCATTGTTTACATGCATAGTACTGTGCAGAAGGAGGATAATTCTCCAGGCATATCTATCTTGAGGTGGATTTATGAAGATCTCCCTATGGAAATTAAGGAGAGACTTCAACTTGTCTATTTTGTCCACCCTGGAATTCGTTCAAGACTGGTCTTTGCCACCCTTGGTCGATTATTCTTAAGTGGAGGGTAAGCTGACTTTTACTAATTACTGGGGTTGCTGCCAGTTATCAATCCTAGATTTGATGTGGTTTTCCCTTCTTCTTCTTCTTCTTCTTCTTCTGTTTGGAATTGGCGCCTTTGGTCTGGACCATTTGACTGGTCCAGCAAGGGCAGTTTTGCTGTCACAGACATCTGTTTGTGCTCTCGATAGGGTTACTTCTTGGGGCATATATTTTGATTATGTAACTCGAGAAAGTAAACCGTTTGTAAATCAACATAAACTTTGTTCAGGTTATTCAGTTGGAGAACTCCTTTAGCAGGAAAATTTTTTCTTGTTACTGGTGTTGTTTCTTTGCAGATGTTGAAGATAACACCGAATTGTTTGATGCTTTGACTTTACTTATTGAGTTAGATTCTGAAAATTTAGTATTGTTTTATTAAGCCCTCACACTTTGAATAGAATAGTTACAGATGTAAGAATGATTTGTTATAAGAAAGGAGAGGAACTCTGTCAAACGTATTTTGGATCCTAGAACTAGTGAACAGGTGGAAATAAGTCTAGGATGCCATTAGTCTTTTGGGCGAGTGATCTTTTTGTTTGAAGTTGTATACAAATCCTCGAGGGGGAATATTGTTGCTATTCCTCTATACTGAAGGACTGCTATCATTCAACACACGGATTTGTGCCATTATAGATTGCACTTCTCTATGTAATTTTGATGAGTCATGCTACGAATTTAGCAAATGTTAATGCTCTCTACATACTTCTGTTTCTGGTAGGCCTTTTAGCAAGTGAATGTGCACTTTCTGGTTGGCACCAAAGATGTGTGGGTGACATCCTTTGATCAACTTTTTTCCCTCTCAAATTTGCTTTTGGTTTGTTACTTGTTATGCAGGTTATATTGGAAAATCAAGTATATAAGCCGCCTGCAATACCTGTGGGATGACGTAAAAAAGGGAGAGATAGAAATCCCAGACTTTGTCCAAGAGCATGATGACATTCTCGAGCATAGACCGCTCACAGATTACGGGATCGAGCCAGACCCTCTTTATTTAACCGAGGTGCCTAACACAACCTACCCCTTTGGGAGGTACGAAGACAGATGGGCAACAAGGGAGTACATGTCTTGACAATCATGAAAAATTAAGCAGCAATTACAAGCCGATGCTAGCTGGGTATGGGTAATCATATCCAGTTTTGTACAGAATAACTCTGTCTGGTCACTCGAATTTTCACTCTGTAATCCTTTAGCCTTGTCTTGTGGGACTAGTAATACTATGAGTCGTGAAAGCATTACGATTTTTCCATTCCGTAAGTGGAGATTTGCTAGAATACCTTGCAATGTATTCCCCTCTGGTTCTCTAAACTTATCTACATACACATATGGTGCTTATATGTTTGTCTGTAAGCTGCATCTATATTAAGCAGAACCAATTGCATATGCTGTCCTACCGGCTTTAACTTTTTAGAATAATGATTCTTCTTTCTAGCTAAAGGCCCAATGGTACAATCTCATAAGCTGTCGCCTTACTTTTGTGAAAAGAATCTCGGATATATAGCATGTGCATATTATGCTACTTTGCACATTTCTCTCAGCGAAAACACTCAAGCTTTTTTGGATGTTGGTGGCTATGACATGGGCTTGATTGGCCAATGTACCGTAACTTTTGATTGACAGACATAATCTATTCGTTTTTTATTTGAACCCTTAAGCTGGAAAGGCACGTGATCAGCTTCCGCGGTCTTTCGTCTTTCGTCGCTGTACCATGACCCCTTCTGATGTTGGGTATGTTTCGACCAGACAAAAACAGAGCGAGAGTAAAAAGGGAGATGCTATAAAGCTTTGGTAACGGGTTTATCAAGAGCCAAATATATGTTGTCTCAAGTCCCCACTACATTCGACCAAAAAGAAAAAAAAGTCCCAACTACAGGCGATGTGGAATACAAGAGGAACTTTCCTCCATTTTGTCTTCTTATTTGGCTTTATCCTCTCACTTGGGCCGACCATTAGAAAGACGAAACATCATGTCATGTCTCAAACATAAGCTCAGCTCTGGCTTAAGATGTTAAGGGTACGTTTGACAATCATTTTGTTCTCGAAAATAATTTTTGATCAAAAATAATTTTTTTTTATTTCGTGCTCGGGAACAATTTCTAAGCATTTGAAGGTATTTGGTAACTGTCCAAAATTTCTATTCTTAGAATTAAAAAAGAAAAAGAAATGCGTTTAGTAACTGCACAAAATTTCTTTTTATTAATAGTATTTTAATAATATTTTAATTTTTTAAATATTTCTTTCTTTTTATTTTTCTTTTTTTTCCCTTCCTTGGCCATGGCCAGGTCACCGACACCGGTGACCGGCCACAGGCTAGGACCGGCGAGGGTCTAGCCCTCGCAGGCCTTGGCCTTTGGTCGATCGCTAGTGGCTAGTGATTGGCGACTGGCCATAAGCTAGGAAGAAGAAGAAAAAAAAAATTTCTTTTCCATTTCTAATTCTTGTTCCCAAAATCAAGAAGTAACTTTTTTTTGCTTCTCGATTCTGTTCCAAAAGAACAAATTTTTGCAAATTTGTGCCCAAAAACAAAAAATTTACCAAATGGATTTCTGTTCCAAAACTGATTTTGAGAACAAAAAAATAGAAATAGTTATTATTTGGCCGGTTGCTAAACGCACCCTAAATCAAAAAATGCTGTGCTATCAATCATAATGCCAAACAGAAACACTGAGATAGATATACTAGATTAATTTACAAACTAAGGTACCAAAATTTCATTGAGAACTTAAATAGACTCTCTAATCATAATAATCACCTGATAAGCTAATTTATTATTCATGCTCAAAAAATGGGTTGAACTCATGAGACCGAGGCCAAATGAACAGACTGGTTTTTGCACACGCTCTATGAAATTTGATCCAGACAAAATTTTCTCCAGGAACAACTAAATTAGCCAAAAAAGGATGAAGAGAAAATGATTTTCTACGAGAAACGAGACAATGTCGGAAATAGGAATACAACATTAAATTTAAAAAAAAAAAGAATAAGAACGATGAGGGATGGCAACGTTTTGTTATTTATTCTATATCGATAATGGTTCTATTTCAATCATCACATTATAATCGAAACATATTAATTCTTTTAATTTTGGGTAATTATATTTAGGGAAAATTCCAAATCAGTACCCAAAGTGAGGTTATTTTCTCAAAAAAGGGTCTAAAGTGGACATAGTGTCAATAAAAATCTGAAGTACCCAATCAGTCTTAAATAAAGGCTCGAAGTGCCCAATTAGTCTCAAATAAAGGCCTGGGTTCGCGGGGCGGTCAAATGCTCACCGGCCGACGAGCACGTCACTGTTCCGATCGCCGGAATAAGGACAATTTCGTCTTTTACTTTTTAAATTTTTTTTGCTTTTACTATTTTTTTCTTTACCTTTTCTTTTTTTTTTTTCCTCTTTTTCCTCCGCAGGCCATAGCCGGTGTCGAGCGAGGCCGCCCTCGCCTGGGCTGGGTGGGCGAGGGCGGCCCTAGGTTTCCCTTGCCGGCGGTGGGCGAGGGCCGCCCTTGCTTGGGGCGGGAGAGGGCGACCCTTGCCCGACGCCGGCGACGGCGGCCTTCGTTGGGCCCGGCAATGGCCGGCGAAGGGAAAAGAGGAAAAAAAAAGAAAAAGGGAAAGAAAAAAAACAGTAAAAGGAAAAAAGAAACAAAAAAAAAATTTTAAAAAGTAAAAGATGAAATTACCCCTATTCCGGCGATTGGAATAGTGACGTGCTCGCCGGCCGGTCAAATGCTTACCGCCCTGCGAACCCATGCCCTTATTTGAGACTAATCGAGTATGACCCTATTTAGGTTGATTGGAAGCAACTTCAAAGTTCTTATTCGACGCTTACGTCTACTTTAACGATCTTTTGAGAAAATGACCCCACTTTGGATACTAATTTGGAATTTTCCCTTATATTTATGCGTCGTGGAATTCATGTTCTATGGAAGAAAAGGCAGTAATTTGAAATATCTACAGGCAGATGGGAGCAACAGCTTCACGCCGATTCCATCTCCAAATGAACAAGGCGGCATCAAAATCCCAATTAGACCTCCGTCCACTCACTTTCTTCTTCTTTTTCCTCCTCCTCCTCCACTGAACTCAACCGCCACTCTCCGGCCAAAACCATGCTGAGATCACTCTCTCTCCGCCGCTCTCTCCACCCCCACCACCGCCACCTCATCATCCTCTCCTCCTCCTCCTCCACCACCATCCCCCGCGCCCGACCCGACCCAATCCGCCCCTTCTGCACCGCCACCGCCGCCGCCGCCACCACCTCCTCCTCCTCCTCCGAGGTCCGCAAGTACCTGGGCTACGCCGCCCTCGTCCTCTTCTGCGGCGCCGGGACCTACTACTCCTTCCCCTTCCCCGACAACGCCAAGCACAAGAAGGCCCAGCTCTTCCGCTACGCCCCGCTCCCCGAGGACCTCCACACCGTCTCCAACTGGAGCGGCACCCACGAGGTGCAGACCCGCTTCTTCCACCAGCCCGAGAGCTTGGCCCAGCTCGAGGGCGTCGTCCAGGAAGCCGACGCCAAGCGGGCCCGGATCAGGCCCGTCGGGTCGGGTCTCTCGCCGAACGGGATCGGGCTGTCCCGGGTGGGGATGGTGAACCTGGCGCTCATGGACCGGGTCTTGGAGGTGGACAAGGAGAGGAAGACGGTGAGGGTGGAGGCCGGTATAAGAGTGCAGCAGCTGGTGGATGGGATTAAGGAGCATGGCCTCACTCTCCAGAACTTCGCTTCCATCAGGGAGCAGCAGATTGGTGGCATTGTTCAGGTTGGTTGATATGTCGTGCGTGTTGGGTTTTTCTTTGAGATTTGAGGCTTGTGGGTGGGTCATTGTTTTGATTTTGGAAGTTGGGAGGTTTTGAGTTTGTGGTGTTTGGTGAGGATGTAGTTTCTCAAAGATCAGGACTTGTCGACGTTTTTGTGGTTTGGAGATGACAGAGATTGGATTGAATCATGGAGTTCTTGTCTTTTGGGTATGGCGGATTGGTGTTATGTTATGAGTTGCTAGTGCGTTTTATTGATGCTTGTCGTCTAGACTCTTAGGATGAGATGCTGGTACTTGTGCTAATGCATTCTGTTATTTGGGCCTGACCGATACATGATCCAGACATTGTTGAGGGGAGGCAATAAGGTGGTACTTAAAGAATAAGTAGCATCAGCATAGTGTATCTCTTGGCTTATTGTTTGGGTAATTCATGTGTGTAGGTTGGCGCACATGGTACTGGTGCCAGATTGCCTCCCATCGATGAGCAGGTCATCAGTATGAAATTGGTCACTCCTGCCAAGGGTACAATTGAGGTTTCAAAAGAGAAGGACCCGGAACTCTTCTATCTGGCTCGGTGTGGTCTTGGGGGCCTCGGTGTGGTTGCTGAAGTAACCCTGCAATGTGTCGACAGACAAGAGCTCGTGGAGCATACAACTGTGTCAACCATGCAAGAAATCAAGAAAAATCACAAGTACTGATCAATATATGCTAAATGTAATTGCCTTTTTGGTGGAACCTGTTCTTTGAATGACATACAGCCGCCTCATCTTTTAGCATGGAGGGTCGAATTGGTGATCTATAGATGCATGAATTGCAGGAGAGGTGTTTGTTATGTTTGCGATGTATAAATTATAGGTCGTGCAATAACTATATATGTTGTTATGCTGAGATGTCAGTCTTTTGGTAGAAATGTAACCATTCTTCTACTTTCGCAGGAAATTATTGTCTGAGAATAAACATGTAAAGTATCTGCATATTCCGTATACAGATACTGTTGTGGTTGTAATGTGCAATCCTGTCTCAAAATGGAAAGGTCCACCTAAATTGAAACCCAAGTATACTGTGGACGAAGCTTTGCAGCATGTGCGGCAACTCTATCAGGAGTCACTTCAGAAGTACCGGTAACTTGCTCTTTTTTGGCATATGATTGTAGTAGCTTAGATGAAACCAAAAGATCGTGGCCGAGTTTAGAGCTGTTTTGCATTATTGGCCTGGCTATAAGATAGAAAGCCAGAATGTCTGCAAACATTTCCGAACAGCTTCTTGCTTTGAGTCAGTGCATTCTTCTTCTTCTTCTTATTGGCATTTGACGAGGAGTCATTTTAAATAGCTTTTGAAGATGGGGTGTTGAAATTGATATATCATTGTGAAGCAGAAAGAGGGGTGTTGAATGCACACTGATTTCAAGCTATGGCAGTTGCTCAGATTGTTTTTTGAATTGCCCGCTGTGTTACTGGCTTCTTGTACTTATGCTCAAAAAGGGTGGTTGCTGTGACTCCTGTCATATAATAGGCTGTGCTTATCCATATGAAAACATAGGATCCAAAAAGCTTAATCTGCTAATGGAATCATCTAACTTGATAACATTCTTGAAGTCGTGAGATAAATTAAGTGTACTGAATAAGATTTCTCAAGTTTGTAAATATAGTTATATAGGTGCTGGTTGATAAGGACATGTACTAGGGCAGCCTACTACTTTGGTTTACCAGATCCATCTAAGGCCATGAAAATTTGTACTTCTTTTCTTCTGTTGGTGGGTATTAAGTTGTATTAACAATGCTCTGCCACTAGGGAGCAGAGGCATTCAGGCTCTGAAGTTATATATGAACTCTTTATATGGAATGCTTTCCCTTTGATTTTGCTTATCCTCCTACTCCTCGTGGTTTCTTATTGCTAGTGAGCCATCACATCTTAATAGCTGCCATGCAGTAATCATCTTTGTTAAGGGGGTTGCTAAATTCTTGGTTTACTTACCGCAGCCCTGAGGTTAAATCCTCCAATAATGATGAACCAGACATAAATGAGCTCTCTTTTACAGAGCTGAGAGATAAACTGCTTGCCCTGGATCCTCTTAATAAGGACCATGTCATAAAGGTTAATCAAGCTGAGGCTGAGTTCCGGAAGAAGTCAGAGGGATATAGGGTGGGTTGGAGCGATGAAATATTAGGCTTCGACTGTGGTGGCCAGCAGTGGGTCTCTGAGACTTGTTATCCTGCTGGAACTCTTTCTAAGCCAAGCATGAAAGATCTTGAATTTATAGAAGAGCTGAAGCGGCTTATAGAGAAGGAAGATATACCTGCACCTGCTCCTATTGAGCAACGATGGACAGCTCGCAGCAAGAGCCCCATGAGTCCAGCATCAAGTCCAGCAGAAGATGACATATTCTCTTGGGTACATTTGTTGCGCATCTTTCACCTCATTATGGCTGTGTGTGTACTTGCACTGGCAGTCTCATTCTCAGCATAAAGCATTTAATAATTGGAGCTCAGTGGTATACATTCCAAGGCAGGTTGTTTCCCGGCCTAGAACCGAGAACCTACCTTGTGACTCCTGGGTTCCAATATTTTGGAATTGGGAACCGAACTGGTCAAATTTGGAACTTTTGTTCCTGAATGGGCCCGGCTAGTTCCTGTTCTACCCGGGAACCTTCCCACTCTTATGTTTTGGGTAAAAATTTCAAATTTTTATAATAAAATATAAAAATTGAACCATATCATTACGAAGACATTCCTTGGTCAAGTGGTTATGTGATTGTTTTTTTTTTAATAATAAAATATAAAAATTGAACCATATCGTTACGAAGACATTCCTTGGGGTTGTGTGATTGTTTGATCATGCTGTTCAAATCTTGATGGGTGTAAAATAAGTTTTTTTCCCAATAGACTCTTCAAAACAAGTTCAAAACCGCTTCAACTTGGGAATCGGCAAGGTTGGACCGGTTTCCAAGGTAGAACCGGCAACCGACCAGGCCGATTCCTGGATTGAACTGTACCTGGTGCTCACTCTTACTAGAGCTGATCTGCTTAGATTGCTGTATTTGTGGCAGATCTGCTTCTTCATTGTCATGCATCGCTTGCTTTCATTATATTGGGAGATAGGAGTGAGAAATTTGAGCATTTCCAATAGGTATACACCATCATAGGTACCCATCAATATGCGTGTCTTGCATATTGAAGCTTGTAGTTCCTATATGTCATTGGAAACGTGATTATAATGACTTGCACACTGTTTCTTGTGGTCTATTGTACTGTTTTTATACTCTTGGCCTCTCAACTTTGGCAAATAGTGACTTTTGAGATGTGCAACTGTTTTCTCAAAATTTCCTCTTTCTTGAATTTGATTTTTTATATTTTAGGCAGATTGATGGTATCCATTTGCTGCATGGACCATAATTATCCGCATTCAAAGTATATTACTATTGATAAAGCATATTTTACCTAATTTGCTACTATAACATGGAGTAATAAGCTTATACAGAGAGATCCGCAAGTAAACCCTGTTTGTTCTATAGATTTTCCTAGTCGGAATTGATTATTTTCATGGAGATACTTATTTTTCAAGGGTGTTGCTAGGAACAGTCAATGCTGATTGACGCAATTTTTGTTGTAGCAAATTCCATTTTTTCTGTCTTGTGGTATGTTTGTGAGCATGTTCAGCCTATTATAAAGGACAGGTCTTGATAGCTCATGATTCTCAGTTTTTAAGTGGTGTTGCATCTCTCAGGTTGGGATTATTATGTACCTTCCAACAAGCGATGCTCGTCAGAGAAAGGAAATAACTGAAGAATTTTTCCACTATAGACGTTTGACGCAAAAACAATTATGGGATCGGTATTCTGCTTATGAACACTGGGCTAAGATTGAGGTAATTATTACTAGTTGATCTTTTGAAAGGGTCCTTTTCCCATTGTTTTGCATCAAGTGCTTTGGCCAATGTTTTCTTCATGGGAAGGTCTTGTTTCAGGCTTAAAACTTATAAAGATTATGGGAAGTTCAACCAGATTTTATACCCCAGGGAGGGAGGGAGGGAGGGAGGGAGGTAGGGAGGTAGGGAGGGAGAGGGAGAGGGAAAGAGAGAAAGAGAGGGCGAGAGGGAGAGAGAGGGAAAGAGAGGGAGAGAGGGCGAGAGGGAGGGAGAGAGAGAGAGAGAGGGACAGAGGGCGAGAGATAAAGAGAGCGAGGGAGGGAGGGAGGGAGGGAGAGAGGGAGAGAGAGAGAAATTTGTTTTCTTCTTGATCTCCTAAAGTTTAATGCCAATCTACCTATTTTCTCTCCCTGCTTTTGACTTTAAAAGATCTAAACTAAAACCCAAGTCTGAAAACCAAAATCATGCACATCTTCAATATGTGTATCTTCTGTTGCTTACCTTGATTTTCCTTTAAAGAAATTGTTCAGATGCTATTATACAAGAAAAAACTCATGGGACTGCTAACTTATATAAGCTTCATTCAAATTTGTATCAGGTTCCAAAGGAGAATGAAGAGCTTGCTGCCCTGCAAGCAAGACTAAGGAAACGCTTTCCGGTAGATGCGTACAACAAAGCACGGAGAGAGTTGGACCCCAACAAGATTCTTTCTAATAACAAACTGGAGAAATTGTTCCCTCCATCAGAATCCCCGTGAAATACAGCCTGGAATCGGTTAGTCAATAATTTTGATTTGGCTCTAGTTTCTTCTATCATAAATTCTTATGCAGTCATTTAAGAGAGTAGAGTATGCCATAAGATGTTGGCTGTAGAATAAACTGGAGCTCTATGTATTTGCATGATAAAGAGTGGTAGGCCGTGTTGTGAACGAACCCATGTTCTGCATCGACATCAACTCCGGCATTCTCTACTTTGATTAGGAATCGTGTGACCTCAAAGCAGAGATGTTTCTGGTCTGTTTTGCAGTGGTCCGGGGAATTGACTGTTGAAAAAATGTTCATCTGCTGGTTGGTAAAGTGATTTGATTAATCGAGCTTTAGATTTTACTCATCAAATTTCTATCCCTTATTCCTTTCTTTGCCTTATGCTTTATTTATTTAGTCTTCCTTTTTGGAGGGTTATGGAGTTAAGGAGTAAAGAAAATGATGATGGAACTTTTATTTATTTTTGAACATAAAGTGATGATAGAACTTAAGAGGACAGTGCAGGAAGCATAAGAGAAATAAATCCATTAGGACAAAAGAATATGGAAATGAACTGGGTACACCACAGGCTGTCGCAAATTATTACACCGTATGACCACACACATTTAGTACAACAGGACGCTCAAATACATATCATACTAATACGTCAATTACTCTATGCAAACCCATCGTTTAGCAGCAACATTCTTCACAGATCCAGCAACAGCAAAGAGCAAACAGGCTGCAAAATCGAACACCATATAGAGGATTAGAGAAAAGATGTGCGAAAGAAAGAGCTGAAGGAATCAAAGTTGGGGCAACCAATCAGGGTGACATTTGGCTTACCATCCTTCAATGAATCCCCTCTCTCCCCTCTTCTTTGAACTAACAAACCACTTCTTCTTGCCTCCCGCGGTGGGTGGTGGGTTCTCAGTTGGGTAGCCTTTGACACAACAAGAACAAGCAAAAACAGAGTGAGTTCGTGAAAAGCACTTTTCATTATTATCAGAGGACTAGGAACAAAGCCCAAAAGCTAGAGAGAGAGAGAGAGATCACGAGTACCAGGAGGAGGAAGATTCTGCTGGGTTTGTGGCGTGGCCATCTTGGAATCAAAAGACAGAAGGAACTGGTCTGATGGAGTTCTCTTGAGCAGTGATTTTCAAGGGATATGGATTCAAATCTTTTCCGTGAGAACAATGAGGATGTGCTGTTTATCTCTCACGATGCGGGGTATATATACACACTTGTCCCCGACCCAATTGGACCAAATTTTCAAGCGAAACTAGACAAGGCATCTTACAGTGGATCAGTGGTCGGCATGAGGAATTTGTACCGGGGGAGGTATTATAGGTCTCTTCGGTTCATACAAAGCACCACTCGCCGCCTTTTCGAACACCTTTTCATTAAAAATAGGAAGAAAGAAGAAAGAAGAAAGATCACGATCTGCTCGAAGATGCTTACTTAGCAAAGAGGAGAAAGCAAAAGCCGGACCCCAAGAACGCGAAAGAGAAAGAGAGAAAAAGAAGCTGCGGGAATCAATTGGAAAGTTCCAACCAAGCACCATCACCATCACCATCACCATCACCATCTTCATCGTGGGAATCGACAGAAGACGAAAAGAACACAAAGTGACACGGAGTTGAAAAAAGGGTTTCACACGAACCTCTCACGAGGCTTTCAGAGCGATGAATATCCATTTCTGAACGTGGGCATGTACCCACCAAGCTTAGAACATATTCCATCCTAGTTTGCTCCACTATTTGGGCCTCTTTATCCGATTTTTCGTCCGACCATTCCCTTACTTCCTCGGTCGTGTTCCGTCTAATTCGTATTACTTAGCATTTTAATCCTACTTAGTCGAGCGTTGGCAGGTGGGTAGGGGGTGGTCTTGCCTTATCCAAGAGGGTCGCGTGAGGCCCCGACGGACGGCGAAGTCGTGCTTCTCGTCCGGCTGACACGTGTCTTTTCTTGCCTCTGGACGGCCGGACATTGGTGGCACACCTTGGTGATTCATACACGTGTGATCAAGGGGCCCACATGAGCCCCCGATGCGAAGAAACAATGCCAAAGAAATCATCGCATCGTTTTCGTTGTGTCGCTCCAGGACACGGAACTGCGTGTGAATGGATCTTTTTTACCGGAGGATCAGCTTTGACTGTTCTTCCTGTTTTGTTTTCCCTTTTATTCGGCCGGCACACGTTGCGATTTGATTTGACTAAACCTGTTAAAATGGATAATAGATTTATTTATTAATTCATATTTAATGGATTGTGTTGTTATTTGGATTAGTTATATTCAGTAAATGAATTACAAGTGAATTTAAAATGATAGATTCATAATTTGCTTAAATCCAATCCACATCTATAACTCTCTCTTTACTCTCTCTCCCGCTCACTTGATTTAGTGCTTGCTCACCTCAGTTTGGGTATGAATTTTCTTAAATTGGGTTAAATATGGAAGTGTTTTAGCAATATGGGTCTCGTCAGATATTGATCACTAGACTCAATTCGAGTCTGACTATTTTTGACCCGACTTGATCCATCCGTTTGACGGGCCTTAGTTTGACACAGAAAGAGAGAGAAAAGAAGAGAAGGAACTGATGCCAAGCCCAACCATAAGAAGAGCCCAATGTCATGGGCCTGAAGGTATAAAACATTGGGTATCTGGGCTTGCGGGAAAACTGTAAAGAACTCAACAAGTCGTATGCCGTATGTGAACAACGATGGCTCATCACTCTTGAAGCATGGACCAACTTCATGGTCTACAGAGTATAGAAGATGGCCTTGCTTCTGATATCATACTTCATCAGATCTGGGTGAAAGTGGGGGAGTCGAATCGGAGTGACAACCTTAGTGATGAATGAAGCACGGGCCTCGCGAGACACCCCGGTGCTGGCTATTTCTGGGAAATCGAATTGGATACCCTAGCTTTAGAACCCTTGATGATGATGACGATTCAGACAAAACAGAATTGAGCATGCATATCGAGAATCATATTGATGCATTAAAGATTGGGTGCGATCCTGATGACCATTAAAGGCTCTTTACTGTAATTAACTTTTTAGAGTGGTTTAAGCTGTGAAATGAAGTGTTATCGTTTTCACAAGGTGTTCGGCAAATCTCTTATAATATTCTTCAGGACAGCTACTCAACTAGCTTTAAGACGTTTTTTTATTAAAAAAATACAATGCCAATTATATAGATCACTCAGTTACAAAACATCTTTTCACTTATAGGAAACTTAATCATGAATAGTACCTACAATTTCTTCCCAAGTGGCTCCAGCAGGGACACACAAGGGGCCCACATCCCTCATTTACCAACCAATAGAAACTCTGTCTCCCCCACCCCTTGGCCCTTGGGCTGGGAGTAAATGCCTAATTTTTACTAGTGTCTCCTACAAAACAGACATAATTATTGGTTGCTTATCTTAATCAGACACAATAATCAACCCCCTCATTAATTAGCGATGCTGACTGGGCTTTAGCAAAATTGGCCCTTCGTGACCTCCAAATCCCGGGTGACTTCCTTTCTTGGTTTCTTCTCCCCGTCACTGTTGACCTACTTCTCATATCCAATCTTATGGTGTTGCTTTCAGTCCCTTTTCGTATCACTGTCTGCGTATGGAATTGCCAGAAAAATCACCCTTCAAATCTCCTTCTCTCCCCCCACTCTTTCCGGTTGAGCTCCGTTCGTTTCGTGAAAAATAAAATATTTAGAAGATGTTTTCCTAAGAGTAATCGCTTATATCGCTTGAAATAATGAGTCAACATCAACAAAAATTTATGTTTAAACATTTTCGTGGATGGTGGAAATATTTTTCGTTCATTCATTTTTATAAGCGATTTAGGTGATTATTTTTAGGAGAATGTTTTCTAGATCTTTTATTTTCTGCGAAACAAACGCATCCTAAATAGCCATCAACTCTCCCAAAGTTGTTGCAGTTGATTGAGGCATTGAAAAATTGGAGGTCATTTATTTCAATCTCACCAGCTGCGTGTAACTTGCTCTTATTCAAGATCAACTATACAAGTCAAAGGTCTAAACTTAAACGGTTCATGGGGTTTATAAAGCGTTTCATAGGTCTCCAATGGAGACTTTGCGCTTGTGCGCCCGTGTTATCAGTAAAAAGAAGAAGAAAATGTCCTTATTATACGATGGGTTTTGTTGAAGATTGCTTCAGGGGTACTTTTAACGTGGCCATTTACAGTTTCCAATACAGCGGCTTATAGTTTTATGTGTAATCAACACTTTCGAAATTGAAATGTTCTATAATAGATATGTTCAATTGGTGTTCTGGTGGTACTCGTTAACAAGACTTAGAATTACTATCTTGTGATCTTATGTATTAAATGAACATGATCATTCTTCTTATGACCAAGGGACTATAGCTATCTTCTTCTTTTTTCCAATTCTCATCCGATGAAGGAGTGTGTTATCATCTTCACCTTTGAAATTTTTACTAATTCTTAATACCATGATGCTGTCTTATAATTACCAACAACATAATCTTTCACACATTAGCCTTAACTAATATGTGAGGTAAAGTAAGAGAGTCTATGTTTTTTTTTTTTTGATAATCGAGGTGTCTGCGTGGCCGGCGAGCTAGGCTCAAACCAGCGGTGATGCCCGACTAGTCCTCGAGGGGGGCTAGCGCAGCATCCCACCGCCACGACCCCCCACTTAAATCACCGATGGGCGTAAGAGAGTATATGTTATTAAGTGATCAAATGAGAAAACTCGAGATATTGATGTTTCTTAGCGATGTATTTACTTACTAAGTACTTTGAAAATTAACTATATAAAGGCTGCAAAATGAAAGTGCATCGACTCGATAGATGTTATGAGATTATAGTACTTTGAAGCAGGTAGCAGTAACTTTCCAAAAAGTTACTGTAAGGTGCTTCGGCTTTTTTCAAGAATTTACGAAAATTCGTTGTTGAAACTGAAGTTACTTTTAGATTGTAGTTGTCGCCACACGCGATTACACCAGACACCATCTTATGCACTATCGAGTTGGCTCTGGCAACCACCATCCCTCTCTCTCTCTCTCTCTCTCTCTCTCTCTCTCTCTCTCTCTCTCTCTCTCTCTCTCTCTCTCTCTCTCATGGTGTGCTTCAAAGATGATGATAATGTAGCATCATCATTAGCACCAAATTAATTGTAATTAAGAATGTCGAATGATGTGACTAAAATACATACACACAGACGTATACTGTGTATGTATGTATTCTCTAAACCATATTTGGATGTAATATCTCCTCCAAATAGCATCATAGGTAACTGACGCACCACATTTTATCGATAATAGAGTCATGTTAAAGGAGGGGAAGTTGTCTAATTAGTTCTAAACCTTTTGCATGGATGCCAATTCAGTTTTTAATTTTTTAATTTTGTCAATTGAGTCATAAACATCTATGCAAAATTTCAATGTAGTCCTTTTGATCAATTTTCACCGGAAATCGTTGCCATGGCGGCGTGCCACGTAGGACGGCCGGTGGTGATTGGACCGCCGCATCATCGATTTCCGGCGAAAATTGACATGAAGGACTGCATTGGAATTTTGCACAAATGCTTATGACTCAATTAGCAAAATTGAAAAGTTTATGACTGAATTGACATCCGTATAATAGATTTAGAATTGAATGGGCAATTTTCCCCGTTAAAGGATGTCACATGAAACTCGTTAAGTATGTTCATAGGTAATATTTCAATTTTCAGAGCATGATAGAATGATAATAGCCGATACACCCAAAACTACGGACTAGTCTTATTATTTAATTGCTTTACAAATGTCTCGAGGGTACTCGTTGCCAAAATCCTTGATGATAAATTGAGGATTCTCAAATACTAGTTTCCTATGCTAATTGTATGATACTAAACTGATAAAATTCCTGCCTAGAAAACTTGCCTCGTCTGAGCATGTAAGTTGGAAGACATAGACAAGCGCTTATGACTAGTATAATGAAACTTCAATGAACGATTGAAGCATGTGCATAGAAGAAATCACCGCAAATGTGTGTTATACATCCACTTATCAACTTCAAGTCGAGGGTAATCGGTGGCTGACTGGGAGATACAAGTGTATAACAAGAAAGAATGAGGATTTTCAAGAATGATGAATATGAGTCCCCTTACTTGTTCCCCAGATGAATGATCTGGAAAAAGATCAGTTGTCTTCACAGTGATCAAGACATTGTTCGAGCATTAATCGTGGTTTCCTTTTGGCTCGATGAATACCAATTCCTGGCGAACTTTCTATTAGTAGTTCATAAAAACGAGAGGTACAGTCTGAGCGGCAGTCTCACATATTGTGAGAAGAAGAATGTAGGGCTGAATTGTTGTTAGTCCAACGAAAACGAAAACTTGAAACAACACTTCAAGAGTTAATTTCCCTGCTGGATAATCATGCAAAACTCGCAATTAGTAACTTGCAAATGGTGCGAGTTCCAAAAGATATTTGATAGAAATATGATACACTAGAAAGTGCGCTTTCCATTAACTTTAAAGCACCTATTTTTTTGCCTTGAGATCATGAATTAGCTAACTAGTTGAAAGAATTGCCATATTCATGCCAGATGTATAATAATGCTAAACACAGTATAACTTGGGATATGACGATTCAGAAATCAAAGGAATAAGAAAACGGCGTCAACTGCATAAGGTGATAATCTCACTATGTCAGCAATTTTCTGCTCTAAAGATGTGAAAACAATATATGTGATGTGAATGATCCAGGAAAGCACAAAAGGAAAATATTCAAGTGAAATGTAACATTCAAAGTCACCAATGTTTTGCCGATGCCGAACAGTGACTGGAAACGTACGCATGTAGGAATTTCTAGCTGAAATGCAGCCATCAAACTCGATTGCCTGTTTAATAAGGTTGGATAGGTACTTTTCACTCGACCTTTGTAAGCCTGATGACAGCCAAAATTACAGTCTATCAAGAATGAACAGCATGACACATGAGAGCTACACTGAAGTTTGAAAATTTATAAACCAGCCTCAAGTGTAGAAGTTGTGACAAATCAATCGATAAGATCGTGAAGTAAGGAGTCAGAGATACATAGTTCTCCCAGAGCTTTTCTGGCGGGGAATGAAGCAGAGAGCAAGACTCTTTCAACAAGTTGCAATGAGAACAATCAGACTAAACATTGACATTTGAATAAGGGTACTCATTGGAGGCTCATTAATCAGCAATCATTTTGCAGCCGGCAGGGACTTGTTTAGCCTACAAATAGAATTTGCTCCGGAAGAGTGCTGTTTCTGGTCGAGAGCTAATAATTTTGAAAGGTAGAGCTCATAATCAAAGTTCATTAGTCGCTGCCATTTGAGGAAAAAGATCTGCAATAACAGTATTTTGACTTGAAAACTAAGAGCACAAGATGCAATTACATGCTTCATCCTCCCCCCCACCCGGTTGCCCCATGTATGGGAAGGAAAAAAACAGGCAGTAACAAAAACAGGCAAGACAGACAGCTCATTCCCTTCATTAGAATAAAAGGTGCCCTTGTCCTAATAATGCCCTATATCATTAAAAAAAACTATATCTTGAAAGAGAAATAAACCCCACAACCCTATTCTTTTTATCTCAATATCCCTGCTTTATATATATTACTATATAGTTATTTTGTGCTATATAAGAATCGGGTTGTGTATGTGTATAGAAAATGAGAAGGTAGGTGGGGAGAACAAGAAAATGGAAAAAGGTCGAGCAATGTATAGGTATATAAGCTAATTTAGATAGGTGTACCATCTACCAACAAATACACGAGAGCGTCGATGACAGGCCGGGGCTTGAAACGATTGACCTGCGTCTCTCTCTAGCCTCTCTCTCTCGCTCTCTCTCTCTCTACACATCCGACCGATCTCCTCTTCAACATTCGTAAGAACTCAAATTCTCTCTCCTTGTCCCATCTGACTGACATACGACATCACGTCCCATCTATGAAATGGCACTCCGCCTCTCTCCTTGATGTGAACATGATCATCCAAAGAAACCCTACAAGAACCAAGAGCAACCAACACACTGAACATAGAGAGAGAGAGAGAGAGAGAGAGAGAGAGAGAATGAAATCCGATGAATCAGCAAATGAGCGTCTAATTGGAACTCCCTGTTCTCTATGATATACTATAATATATGGATTTAAAGAAGATAATCTTTCAGTGATTTTTGTTGTTGGAGATCAGAGCTAAAACTCTGGACGTTGATGGTGGTACAATAAAGATGGATCACAACCCACTTGCTGTGTCCTTTGCCTTTGCCTGTGACGGACGGTGTCGGCTTCCTCGCCGCAGTCCACTCCTGACCCCATTTGAGCAGCACCAAGATTGAGATAAACCATTCTTGAATCAACGTTCACACTGGACATGTTTCCTCCGCTGCTTCCACTGCTATGCCCTTCACTCATCGGCGGGTGATAGATGCTGTTATTAGAATGCGAGGATGCGTTCGCGTTCCCTTCCTCACGTGAGATCACAAGAGCCGCTGACTGGACGAGCTCAAGGCAGAGCCGGAGCTTGTTGGGCTCGATGTGGGCCAGCCCTGGCACAGCCCCCTTGAAGAGGAAGTCGGAGGTGAGGGCGCGGAGCACATCGAGCGGGGTGACTCCATCAACAGTCCGGACGTTGGGGTCCGCATGGTGGTCGAGGAGGACCGCCACCATGTCGGGGGACACCATCTCGGCTGCGACGTGGAGTGGGGTCTTCCCCGCTGGCCCCGCAGGGCAGTTCACATTGGCAGCCCCGAGCTCGAGCAGCGCCTTGACCACCTCCCGGCTGCAGTTTTCAACTGCGTAGTGAAGGGCCAGTGCGTCGTCCAGGTTGAGACCTTCCCCCATTACCATGAGCTTCACAAGCTCGACGTCGGACGAGTCGAGGGCACGCCGCATCCGCCGGATCTTCTGGTCCTCGAGGTCGGCGCCAACGGCTGCGACGAGATCATGGTGACCAGGGTGGTGGTGGTGGTGGGGGTGAGGCACGAGGGATTGGCGGGCGAGGGAAGACTTGAGTCGGAGCTCTTCGATCTTGGCGACCACGTCGATGGGGAGGTGTTTGGCTAGGACTTCAGGTGGGAGGCCAGATTTGGCGACCAGGTGAGAGCAGGTGGTCCACAGTTGGTGCATTTCGTGCTTCCTTGAGGCTATTAGCACTTTCATCACGTCCTCTATTGAGGCCTTCTGGACCATGTTTGCCAATTGCTTCTGCGAACAATCAAATAAGCAAGGAATCGAATTAACACAATGTGCAAAGATTGATGATTTATCGGATCGAACTGATCAACATAACGTGAGAGAAAAACATAAGACTGATTATCCAACTTGTGTTCATTGGAGGATTATAGGGGAGCTATTGTGCGGAATTATGCTTGACAACTTTTTCCTTGCTTTTTATTTGGTTTTGAAATTCTTACACGAGGATGGAGAATTTGAACACCCAAAGAGAGAAAGTGAATGTTTTGGGAAAAGTTGGGTTTGGTATGCTTTTAACTGTGTGAGAAGACAAGACAATGAAGAGATTGATCCAAAAACCTAAAAAAGGGAAAATTCTCAGTCCTGGCCACCGAATTAGGGCGAGCCATTTCAAGAAACTCCACGTTTGTACATAAAATCAAACTCACGGGAACGCAAGAACACCATACATAAAAAGGAAAAAAGGTCACAACGATTTGGTGTTTGAGGTATTAAAAGACACAGGATTCCTCCAATGTTTGAAAGGAGAGTCAGGATGGCGAGTGTTTTCAGTGTCCCTCAATTACACGGAAGTGAAGGCAAAAAATGAAAAAACCCAACTGAAACAACCAAAAGCAAAAGCCCCTCCAATTATCAATAGGAAACGTCATCCACAAAATCCTACAACAGCAAAATCTAATCCCACCTCCCCAGAAAAGGCCATACCAATCAACGCACTAGCTAGAGAGAGAGAGAGAGAGAGAGAGAGAGAGAGAGAGAGAGAGAGAGAGAGAGAGAGAGAGAGGGTAGTAGGCTATGAGAATTGAGACCTGAGTGAGAAAAGCGAGCTGCTCGACGCCGAAGGATCGGGCAGCGGCGAGGGTGTCGAGGGCGAGGTCGACGGCGGAGGTGCAATGCGTGTGCCAGCAGCCGCGCTCCCCGCAGTCAGGCCGGGGCTCGTGCTTCTGCGGCACGATCGAGACCTGCCCGCTGTACAGGAACTGCAGCAGCAGCAGGAACACCTCGTACCCCACCGAGCTCACCGGGATCACCACCCCGGACCGCTGCGGCGAGGAGGGCGGCGCGACCCTCGAGCCCGACCCGGAGGACGGATCCGAGGAGGTCCCCCCGGGGGACTCGGATCCGCAGAAGAACTTGCGGAAGAAGAGGCTGCGGGCGGCGAGGATGCAGCGGTGGGCGTGGACCAGGCGGCCCTCCACGCTGAAGGTGACGTCGCTGAAGGCCTGCCCATTGATCAGGAGGTTGAGATAGTCCAGCGACAGGGATCTCAGCGAGTCCTCGATCGACATCTCCTCGGTTCTTGAAGAAGCAACTGTTGCTGCTGCTGCTGCTGCTTCTTTCCTTCTTTAGGGTTGAGAGAGAGAGAGAGAGAGAGAGGGAGTTCAAGAGGTGGAGGTGGTGGAGGAGGAGGAAGTATTCATGTGGGGTTGGCCAGTTCTGTTGGGAGTGTGATCAGAGGGAAGAGGTGAGATTCTTCCATGGAGATGGAGATGGAGATGGAGAGTGGTGGTGTGTGTGTTTTGATAGATATTTTTGGTGGAGAGAGAGAGAGAGAGAGAGAAGCAACTTGGGTGGCCATTCTGGGCGGCTGGGCTTATTAAAAGGGCGAGTCTTTAGTAATTTATTTATTTATTTTCGCAATAAACATTAGACCAAAGAAAAAATCGGGAAATATAAAATAAATAAGAATAATCCCAGGTATAATAGTATCGATTTATAAAATAATTTGTGACCGATTCTTCCTAAAAATATTAAATAAAAATCCACGCATCGAAACACTCACCTACATATAGGTCGTACAAATTTTTCCCTAGATTCGTAATGTCTAGCATTTCTCATATAGACAATGACCTAGACATATATAAATAAATATATATTATGTTTATCTACCTATCTATCTAGATAAGCTGGCCCAGAAGAGAGAAATTACCGGGATAAGGGAGGAGGATGATCACAGACAATTATTATTTGTCTGAAGGCCTTCTATTGACCAAAGGAAGGGTTGATGTCTCCTTAGCCCTGAAGATTTGACCAATTACTGTACTCTTGTTAGTGCCCTAGTTTTGGAATTGATTTCCTTAAAACAGAAAACACTAGCTTTATCTTATATATATATATATATATATATATATTATTATATAATGTGTAAATGGGATTTTGCAATTTTTCATTTTTATGTTTGTTTTTGGGTTTGACTGTGTGCAACTAAACCGTGTGTTTATCTGTGAGTGGATGTAAAAAGCTAAGGCAGGCAAACACACGGTTGCCTAGCTTTACGTCCACTCACAAAAGAAAGAACGCCCTCTTTTGCACATACTTCTCTTTTGTTGAATTTACATCATGTCCTCTTAAAAGATACATAACTCCTCCTTATCACGGTATATACTTTCTTTTCTCATTTTCTCTCGGTTTTTTGTCACCTTACATTACATTGAATGAATGTCTACGATATCTCCATGCTGGTGCCCCTGAATTATGGTGCCTACTGCCTCGATCGCTAGATAATTAAAGTTTTATTCATAGTTGAATAAGAAGTCCGTATTGATTGCCAAGCACCTCTCGGCGATTAGTCATGGAAGTTTCTCGTGGGTGTGGTAGTACGTCGTGATGTAAATTTGTCAAATTTAATCTAACTTTGGCAGTTCCCATGTCGCTGAATTAGATTTTAATTCACTAGCTAGAGAAAAAAGCTTTAAATTCAATTCACAATGCTAGTTCAAAAAGAAAAATATATCTATCTCCATTAATATCGAGCTGATATTTGAAACTCGAAGCTTGTAAAATTTACAAATTTTTCAAACAACTTTAGTTTACGCACTATCATCCCGTAATGAAAGGATTACAAATATTGTATCGAGCTTTTGATAATCCAAATTCTGCATTAGCTTACCAGATTCTTTGCATGTGCCTATATATGTTTTTTTTGGTCGACATGTGCCTATATATGTTTAAGTGTGATATTTTGAGTGTGTGTATATGTTTACGAATACTTAACTGCACATAAAATCTAAAAAATCGTTGAAATCAGTGCTCAAGGAGACTCGGAAGGCATAAGTGAAAAGGCATATAAAATTCAGTAAATTAGTTTCAAAAGAGTATTAAGCCGCATTGTTGCTAGTTATTTATTCTTTGTAACCTCGAAAAACGACCACGGTCATGGATTTTCCCTGCCTATACCGGTCAATGATCTCTCATAATTTTCAAGTTGAAAAATAAAAAAAATGTAACATTTGTAAATTTGTCTGAATCTATTTCTACTTTTTATTTTCATTTAAATATTGCGACTTATGTACTTTGGATTTTTTTAAATTCGAAACTCCTAACACTTTCACAACACTTTCATATTAACACGTAAGTTCACACATAAATCTTTCGTAAACTTCTGAAACTTTGGATGATATTTTTAAATAAATTATTGGGCAAAACAAAAAATTTACGTTTTTCTGTGATCGAGAAAGTAAAAAACTAAATAAGAAATTTAATCTGAAAAGAGTCACATCAAGTCACTTCAAAAGAACAGTACAGGAAACAAAACGCCATCCCCTACATGCACCTCACCGACCCCTTGTGGAATTGAATGGTGCCCCTATAAGCTAATTATTGTTCTTTCCCCAATTCTCAAGGAGAATAATTAAAGACCATTAGCCAAAATGCTCGACCAGACATTCAATTTTTGAGCATGTGCACAACCGATGTCTCCATTGTTTTAAATGTAAGCTGCTCTGGACAGATGGATGTTACACACCACAGTGATCTGCTTCTTTTCATCAGATCATAATGACCTAATCCATGGAAAAAAGTTTGTCCCTCTGTTCAAAATCACAAAAAAAAAAAAATCACCCAAATCGATACATCTCTTTGACGGGTATCGATTTTCATGTTTCAATATTTAGAAAGCAACGTTAAACATTAGTTTCTGATTAGATGGGCAAATTAACCAAAATGACATGGTGAAATTACATTTTGTCGACACACGATGTATATTTAGCCCGACGCGTAGACATTATTAAGTATAACCGACCTCACATGACATCTATTCTGGTCGAAAGGCCTCCCATGTGTGCACGGGTGCATATGCTTTCGACACATGTGATGATCGTCGATTTCGTTTTCGATTAGTACCCGGAAAAACCCTAACCAAATTGCAACGAGGGCTTGGTTCATCATTGACAAGAAGATTAGAGAGAGAGAGAGAGAGAGAGAGAGAGAGGGGCAATAGACCAAGGGGTCACGTGCACGTGAGAAAGGGCACGGCACGTGCGGGGGATGGGCGAAAGGACATCTTCTTCTCAGGTTTTTTTGATTAGGAGTTAGCCACAACATTGTCAGTTGAGTGGCAGAGGTTTTTGGTCATTCCACCCCTCCCCCCTCTTCCTTCTTCCAAATTCGTGACCGGACCCCGAAACAAATCCCATCGATTGACAACACATCACTGACTGTCGTATGATTTCAAAGACCTCCGATTTGACGTTTGACTTGTCTTGTCACCTGCCCCGACGCACACACCCACACACCCTCAAATTGCATCCCCCTAACCCTAGCGGGGATAAACTACGAGATCAGTGCCTTATTCTTCTTTTGATATTTTATTTGGTGAAACTTTTATATCATCCGGTGAATAGAATAGAAAAATGTGAATCGGTAATCCTGTATTGATTTACATGATACTGTATACACGAGAGTCGCCGTCTTGTCATATATACGTATACTATGAGAACGGAGAGTGCACCGATCGACGAGACAGACGATCAACACGATTGTGGATAGCTTGGGTCACTGTGGAGCTTTTAATGGTTCCCCATCTTTAGGGTCTTCTGCCTAACCCTCAACATGCACGCAACATACATAAAAGAGAGAGTATTTAGATTTATGCCAAAAATGTCACCAAATGCGGCAATTCTTTTGACCCCGACTGGTCTTCAAATAGTGTCAGAATCGTTACAAAATAATTCGCTGCGACATTGGTCTTGGTGAATGAACATCTGATTGAGATAGCAACCGACCTAGAATTTAACTCGAGCAATTGACATAAGAACTCGAGCAAAATCTCGATCCAAAAAGGAGGCGCGGTGTAATCAGTATTACATGAAAGTTTTGTAGAAAATGATAGATGTTAATGAACAAAAAATTGAATGGTTAGTGATCGAGAAGGCAAATATGTAACTGGAGAGGCAAATATCATGCTTACACTCTTTATTGCATCAATTTTTCTTTTGTTGAAAGAAATTTGAGCCTCAAGATGTCTTACACTTACCCCTAAACAAGGAATCGTGTCTAACAAGGATACCCATTATAATCTTCCAAGGCCAGAACAAATGCCATATGCTCGATCTCTCACTATTTTCAGGAAGGATCAAACAGTACACTCGGATAAGTTTCCATACATTAAACTAAACCTACCTTAAAGATAAGCTACTAATGTTTATCTTTATCTTATTTTGAAAACATAGGCTATATACACTTGGGAGTAGTGAAATTAGATGACTCGCTTTCTCAGGCACAAAACCAAATTGCTATATAGACTTATCCAATCTGATACGTCGGTGCTTCCGCGATGATTTCAGCATTTAGTGAAAGAACAACAATTACAAATTCACGATATATGAAAAGAAATTTTGTCTGGTTAATGTTTTAGGCCACTTGCCGGCTCAGCCATTGAATCACAAAGATAGTTACAACATCATTAGAATATGGTATCTACTCGCAAGTGTCGGAATTTAGGGTTTGACCCCAAAAGAAGGAGGGTTGATCTGATCCACAACGTTGAAACTACACAGAGAGATTTTCTTTTTCTCGAGGATGGGAACCGAATAAATAATCAAATCTAATAGAGTCTAACCTGCCTAGCACGTTCAAAAGAGAATTAATATAATCGGGTGCCTCAATTTCCAAGAAAAGATAAGAAAAGTGCTCAGTGACATTCATGCTCTTCTTATATGCATATATACTGTGTACGGAGATGCCCGCAAGATTCCATCAAATTACTTTTTGTAGCGGGGTTTTTGAAGGCTCTATGATTAATGCATATTGCAATTAAAACAATAGTTTCCTCGGATTTAATCCAAGTTGGTACAAAAGCACGTGAACATATGTTCCCGGTGGGGATCGATTCTACCCACCAAAGTCGCTGCATTAGGGCACAATCCTCCAATCGCAACCTTAATTCTTTGTCCATTGTTCAAAATATCGTCAATTGTTTAATTGTCCGGATTTGTCTCTTTCGTAAGTAAAAATGAAGCATGCCATCTGTGTTAGGAATACGTTTCGAGTTTGAACCCATGAATCCCGATCCTAGCAGGTTTCCTAGTTTAAGTGGTTTAAAAGGCTGTCATTCATTTATCTAATCTAGCTTACTTTCACAATTAAACTTCAGCAACAGCCAAGATACATAATAAATATGCTGCTAGTGCCCATAAAGGCAACGCTCTTGGGGCTATGCAAGGATGTATTTATCTCGATAGAGGAAATTACCAAAAAAGTCTTAAACCTATTACACTTGTACTAGTTTTATCCTAAGCCTTTTAATTGTGCAAATTAAGTCCAAATTCTTTTCTTGTTTTGTCAATTGAGTC